TATATGTTGCAATCTTGCTTCGGCAGCACAATTTATTTTTTGATGTCTCCTTGTCGATATGAAGATAGCTTGAATGTATTTCAAAAAAAAAAAGGGCAGCTTCAATAATTATTTTGTGTTTTAACAGGACCATCTTTATTATATGTTAGTTTTAAATTAATTACTAGAGACGATACCAGAGAGGAGGGTTTCTCACAGTTTTTTTTTTTTTTTGTGTATACTCCTGTTGGGATAAGTTACTATATCTGAAAGCTGAAATTGCCAGCCTACTTAGACAGACACTCCTAGTTTTTGATGCTGCATCTATTGCATCAGCTAATGAGGCTGTTATTTCTCTTGGCACCTCTGTTCTACTTGTATGGCACGGTTTGGAAAGGCAGATTGTAATGTAACTTCAACATTTTACTTCAAATTTAATATGTCAGGTATTTTAGTTCCCTGGTGGGTCGGTTGCCTCATCACCTTCATTTATTTCACCTTCAGATTTTGTAAATGAAATAGAAGTTCATGTCTTTTATTATGGCTATATTTAACTCCAACATGATATTATACCCTTTCATTTGGAACTAGATTGAGGATAACCATTTTGCTATGATAATCAATGTATACATCAAACTTAGGCACTGCTATCCTAATGGCTCTTATAATTCTGTTCCATAATTCGTATCTGACCCATTAGTCAAAAGAATTTCAACCAGCCCTGAAGCCTCCTTGTTTATAGTTACAATATCTGAATATTTACAGAACCTGTGACCAAGCCATCTTATATATTGCAATGAAGACCTTTTTCCCTTTTTCTTTCTTTAGTGTTCTTTTCTCTTTCGAAGGGAGGAATGAAGGCAAGGAGGAGGTAAAGCCAAAGAGGAAAACAATAAAGCTGTGGTCATGAGTAGCGAATTGCCTTTTGAAATATTCTTTGGCCAGGGGCTAATATTGCCAAAGGGTCATAAGCAGATTTTCTCTGGACAAGAAGGTCCCACTGTGGGCCAAAGTGGGCCCGCCACTCTTCCTTTGTTGTGTAGTGGGGCAAATACTGCTTCACCCCTAGATGAGCATTTTCACAAAATTCCAGAATTTTTTTGTTCTGGTTTAAGATGTGTCCCAAGCCGTCAGTTCCTGCGGAAGAGGGAACTGCAGAGGAAAGGAAAGCCACTAAGTAGAAAACATCTTCATCTGGAATAACAGCAGAAGTTCTGTTGTCCCACCTGCAATGGATTAAAATAAAGATAGATTAGAAAAAAGAAGTTACTAGATTGTAAGAGATAAGTGAATAATTTTGTTTGTGTTTACTTTGATTTGTTTACTGGGTAGATGAGGATGGGGCCGGTGCTTGTGTCTGTAAGGATATTGCCAAAAACAGCTTCTGCAAATTTCTGAATATTGCTTCGAGGGATTAGAAGATTGAGCCATGGGTGTGGAACCTCCCACAAACCTTTTGACCGCAGTTTGACCTCAGAGACGTGAACCCTGTCCAGGAAGTCTAAATAGGATACCTCTGACTGGAAAAGTGTTGATGAAATATAGCTTAACCGGGTCAGTGAGTTCTCAACTTCCTGCACAAGGGGAAAGAGATATATTCAGTTATGTTATGTTTAATATCTAGGTTTAATTAGAAAATCCACCTTATTGTGGGCCATTGTGCCTCACCTGGTTTACTACATTTGTCTTTTCTGGGTTGAAGTATTTGGCCAATTCTAGGCAGAAGAGAGTTCTGCCGTCAGACTTGAATTGGTTGGCTTGTACAGGGTCTTGTATATTGAAGGATGATCTCCAATTGTTTAGGAGACCAGTCCTGTTGATTATCACAAATCCTTCAACATAGTCGAATGTATTATCTGCAGATATTAGATGCTCTTGATCTTCGGCAAATGTTTGGAAATCCAGGTACAGCACTCTAATCCACTTCACCTGTTCAAAGGGCAGAATTGTGTTATGGTTAGTAATGCCGTCTACTGCATAGGACCTACTATGGAACTTGTTCCGGTGAATCATTATTATTTTTTACCATATTAGGTGCTGGTTCCAATGATATTCTCGCCCGTGTTATGATGCCAAACTGTCCAAGGCCTCCAAGAACACTGTGGAAGAGATCACTGCTCTGCTTCTCTGAACAACTTACCACCTCTCCTTTTCCTGCATGCAGTTCCCGTCAATTGTTCAGTAAGTAGTATGTCATGACTATCATTCATAAAATTTTGTCCAATTTGCAGCATACACTATAGGCAGCCTGTCAAAGTACAATCTTAGTTTCAAATGAATAATTAAATCCAAGAAAACAAAGTTCATGACTGTTCCCTGATTTGTCATTTCTTAATGGTTATCCCCAACTATAGTCTCGTCTTTCAGGATGGAATTTATCATTCTAAGATTAAGATATTTATTAACTTATTTTACTCGAACAAACCTGTAATGACCTCCAGCTGTTGAACATTACTGATCTGTGGTCCATGCCGAAATGCCTGCCCACTGATTCCAGCATTAGACAGAGTACCGCCAACAGTTAAATGTAGGTAGTCTGTCCAAGATTTCGGGGCTAACCCATATTTCAGGCTTTCACGGAGGATATTTATCCACAACTCGCCACCAGAAACATCAACATATGGGGAACTCCCGGTATGGAACTGCATTTTAGTGCCTTGGAGTGATAGCATGTTGATCACAATTCCTTGGTGAGCTTGTGCCTGACCCTGGAGTGAGTGGCCATGACCTCTTGCTGCTACTTTCAGCCCGGAGTGAGGACCCATCTGCCAAATGTGCTTTATTGTTGTGGCAATATCAGCAACTGAGTTGGGGTGTAGGACTGCTGAAGGGAGGAATTGGTATCTATTGCCAAAGTCTCTGGCTGCATGATGAACATCATCAAAATTGAAATACCCATCAATGGAAAGAGTTTTTAAGGAAGAAGGGATGGTTGAAAAACATAGGTTCACTTTAACAGCCATGCAGATAAAGGAGAAGGTGATGAAACTTCTAAAGAAAAGGATGTTTTGTTGTCTGAGAAAGCTCATTTTCTTTTTCAGAAGTGAATAGGGAGATGGAGAGGAGTTTGGTGTTATATTTCTTGGTTGTGTGTGAGCAAGAGCAAAAGCAAAAGCAAAAGCGAGAGTTTGTAGAAGAGTCGAGGAATGAAGAGCTAAGGTGGGAATTTAAAGGTGATGATTTTTGAGTGGCTGAGTCAACCTATATGGAGTTGTGAGAATCCGTATGAGGACTGCCTACTTGAGTGGAAGAGTTTTAGGATTTTCTTTTTCCGTCTAGTTCTCCTTTTTGGGCTCTTTTTGTTTATAAGAGAAGCCATCAAACATATGCCAAGTTGAAGAGAAAAAGTCACAGGGAAAGAAAGATTTCACAAATCTTTTGCACTTTTCCTAACAGTTCCAACCACAATCCTTCTTCTCTCCCCCCCCTCCCTTTTTTTATTTTTACCAGAGGCGATTTTTTCCCCAACTTTTTCCCATTTTTAGAAAAAGAAAAAACATCAATGACTTCCCCAGAATTCTTGTGTGTTGCATGAACTGAAATGATGCTTGTTTTTTCCCTTTGAATACGTTGCTGGCAGGTTACAAACATGGCGTATCTACTTGCAGATCAGGTGAGAGACTTAGCGGGACCAGTCCTGGATTTGTTTTGACAGAGAAGAAGGTAAGTTGAGTAGGGGCAATGGAGGAGGGTCCATTACATGTGAAATTGAATTGCATGTGTTGTTTCTATAAGCTATGATTGGTTGTGTTTGGACCCCATTCAAAGAAAGTAAAACATATATGAATGAAGTATGGGGGTAATATTATAATACGGCATTCATACATTTCATTATAGTAATTAAATAAAATACATACACCGCTCTCGCTCAAACCTACAATCTTTTATAAAGAGAGAGAAGTACTAATTTATCGGTACTTATGACGACTAATTATTACTTAACTTCTCAGTAAATTTGTCCTGTTTATTATACTCCAATTATTGCATATGCACTTTGTTTATGACACCAGTTGTGTGTAATCTCTAGACAGGATCATCTAAGTTCAACCATTCCTAATTTGTATGGGCAAATTATGTCAACTCCTGTACATTTTGCACCTTTCCAGAAAGCTTCTTTGTTTTTTTGGGATAAATATATTCAAATGATATCTCTCTCT